GTCTCTGTCTGTCTGTCTGTCTCTCTCTCTCTCTCTCTCTCTCTCTCTCTCTCTCTCTGTGTGTGTGTGTATGTGTGTGTGTGTAGAAATTCTATGCACAGGTATCACAAAAACAGTAAATTTCACTGGAGGCTCTATCTGATGCATACCTACACCCACAATGGAAATAGAGTCATTTGTAATAAATGCTAACTGATCAATATGATACTGGCTTATCTCAAAGATAAAAATAAATTGAGGCAACTCTCAGACTTCCTCACACATGAAAGCTAAGGTTGTTATAGCAGCAATATTCAGTAGACATCATTATGACTAAAACACTAAGAAGGTAAATTGGTGAGACTTTCCGAAAAAATGGCTTAATTTATTACATAATATAAATTAGTAAAAGAACATTATTTTTAATAAGTCATTACATTTACTGATTTTTTAACATAGAAATAAAATAAAGGATCTTTTATTTTAAACAACGTACTACCAGACAACATTATAAAAAACACTCTTATATAGTATTAGAACATCAGCATTCAGGTATATAGTTAATGGAAAAACTGATAATATTAAAAAATAGTAATAGTAAATTTAAATAGTTAACTAGAAGCTATATGCCTGCCAATTCTGTGTTTAAGTATAAAAGTATAAGTTTAAGTGTTTAAATATAAAAGAATTAAGTCATTGTGCCCTCAAAACAATCTTATGTAGTAGGCGCCCACTTTATCATTGAGCCAATGAAGGCACAGATGATGCATCTTACCCAGGTCACACAGCTAAAAAGGGAAAATCATAGATTCGAACCCAGTAGAGTATTCTTAACTACTATACTCTACCTTTTCTCTAAAATTTTCATAAACCATATATTTGTATCTAATGAATCTAGATACTGATCTAAGAATAATTCTCATTCTAATTTTCTCAAATTGGAAATTAGAAGAAGAAAGGCAACTGACCAGCTGCCAACATTTTCTGGTTGTGCAAACTGAGGCACGTATCTATATGTCTCCAAGTTGAAGTTTTAGCAAAACGGACTTGGAACGTCTACTGCCTAGCACACCTTTCTACTCCTTCAACTTTTGGCTCCAGTTTCTTTTGAACTAATATCTAGTATAAAAAATGAAAAAGAAATAGAATGTTCAGTTAGATAATAGATATGAAGTGTTTTACAAAGTATAAAGTGCTATGTCCATGTTAATTACTTTTATTAGCTATTATCTTCCTATGATTAGTGATATAAAAATACAAAAACAATTTAGCCATTGCTGATCTCTCTTCTATATTCAATTATTTCACGAGTATATGATATAAGAACCAGAAATGCAAATATATTTATTCATAAAACCAATCAAAATAACCTAGCAAATCAGAAATGCATAGTAAATATTTCACAGCTATAACCAGAGTCAAAGAATTTGTTTTAATTCAAAATTAGAATATATAGTACAAAAACAAAAGAAAACAAATCAGCCAAACTGGTATTATGAAAAAAAAAACACATTAATCTTAATGATTTTTAATAAACAGAACATATATCTGAATGCCTGAAAAATAAATTTACATAAATGTGTTTTTATAAAAATATGTGTTATGCAAATGGATAGTTGTTTTAGTTCTTTTAAATCACTGTTTCTGTCCTGGAGAGAAATAAAATATAAAATTCCAGGAAGTTAACAAGTTTAGAATTGCCTAAACATGAGTAAACAATCAAGTTGCTTCTTAGTTTTGAAAAAAATTCTTAAATTGCTCTTTTTAAATATTAATTTCTTATATGCCATTTGAAAAAAATACCTTGCTTATAACTAAAGCTGGTGATTACAGCTAATGAACTAGTGTTAAAACAGTATTACAAGGCAATACTCACACACACACACACACTTTATATATGTATACATATATACACATACAAATGCATGCACATGCAGAGTCATGTGATGGAGGATAATGTTTCAGTCAACAGTGGATCACATATATTAAGTGTGTGTGTGTGTGTGTGTGTGTGTATGTGTGTGTGTATCCTTTTAAGAAAACTGTAAGAGCCTTGTGATGTGCTAGATAGTTTGCTAATTCCCAGATAAAACACAAATAACCACTGTTTCCACTGGATACTAAATTTATTAAGAAAGTTGTGTATTTAATAGTTTTTCAAGTATAATTTTGTTAACTACCATGAAAGGTAAGTAGATACTGCATAAACATGTATTGTAGGGCAAATTAACCTGGTTTGAGGCTTTAGGTAAGATTTCCTTCAGGAAATGACACTTGAAAATAAAGGATTTGGTCAGGTATGGGAGGGAGTGTTTGCGTGGGATGATTCCAGGCAGGGGATCAGCAAAAGGTAAGGAGTGCAGAACAGAAGAAAGTTAGTGCATTCAGTGAATCGAAAGACGGCTTGCTTAGGTGCAGCAGTGCCATCAAGGGGGAGAGCCATGAGAGAGATTTGTGAGGCTCACAGGTCAGCTGGAGAGCTTAAGGGTCATTGAAGGTTTTTTAAGCAGGACCATGACCTGCTTAAAAAAAAGTGGTCAATAATGGAAAAACAATATTTAAAATCATGACAGCTCATGAGGAAATATCAAATTTCACAAAATAACACCAGTAATCAGAAATTATAGATCCATTAGAAGATTATTGATTTCAATGCTGGTAGAGAAACACTGTATTTAGGTAAGATACTAAGAAAAAAATTGAAGTTGCTATATTGGACTTTAAATATTAGAAGGCATTTGTTTCAAGGATAAAAAATTAAAACTAAAAAATTTCTGTCTTATACCAAAGTATAATCTCAAAATCATACTTGATGTAAAAAATAAGGTCAATTTACAGACATAGAAAGATAGATGGTAGAAATAACTATATTTGTTTATTTTATTACTATTGAAAGTTCCCTAAGAAGCGTGTCTAAAACGGAATAGATGCTCAGCCTACCTTTGTTTGAATAGACACTGTTAAAGTGATATTAATATAAATATTTCTGAAAGTTTGTGAAGTTTCTGGAGATTCATCAATGTTCTACTTCAGAACATGCTTCACCCTAGGTAAGACACTACCCAAAAATCAATAGGTCACATTATAAAATATCATTAAGCCTTTCTTCATCGAAAAGTATCAATTTTACATTAGCCTTGACCATTAAGTCTCTGTCAGATAACTGGGTTTTACTCTGAGGCTTGCCTGGAGGCTCTGCTGTGCACCACAGGCCAGATTTGATATCTTCAACAAAGGACAGCAGCAGGAAAAAGGAATCTACTAGGCATTTCCTGATGAACTCTAGGTTGTAGCAGAGGCATCTGAGTTGATGTCACTGATACAACTTCCAGACTAGAGCGATAGACTTGAGTCAGGATTTCTATATTTTCGTAGGCAGTGGGCTATGAGGATTAATGACATAAGAGTGTATGCATGAATTAGATGTCCATTTTATTTTGGTTCTTTGAAAAATGGTTTTAGTTTTCAGCTATATAAGGAATTCCTTCTATCGATTATAGTAATTTTTACTTTTGTAAATTAAATACAGCATTTAAAATATCTCAGGAGGCCCTCAGATTAATTACTTCACATAGTGACATGGTTATTTGCATAGGTTCATAGATTCTACTTACTCATCATGATATAGTTAAACAAACTGGTTGTATAACCAAGGCCTTACTGAGGTGGCCATACTGGAGAATGACGCATATTGAGTCAGATAGAACCACTGTTTTTAAGGAACTAAGGCTGACGTTACTTATGGAATTGATCATTGCAAAGTCCACCCAGGAAAACTGACCTGATAGCTGGCTGACATGGTGCAGTCTCACAAGTCAGGCAGTTCATTTCCTGCCAGGCTAGGGACGTTAACAAATTTCTGTGAAATAGAAGATATACCCAAAGGTACAGGTACTGCAGGTGAAATCTGTATATGCTTTCTTGGGATTGGCTTCCTTACCTCCAGTTAGTAAACAATAAAGCCTTTTAAAAGTTCCATCTGAGATGTCTTACAAAAATTTCCAAGTATAAATGAATTAACTCAAAGATCTAGGGCTTTTTTAAAAATTAGAGATAGGGTCTTGCTTTGTCACTCTAGCTGGAATGTAGTGGCATGATCATAGTTTACTATAACCTCAAACTCCTGGGCTTAAACAATCCTTCTGCCTCAGCCTCGTGATTAGCTAGGACTACAGGCAGGTACTACCGCACCCAGCTCATTTTTTTTTTTCTTTTTTGGTAGAGATGGAATCTTTCCATGTTGTCCAGGCTGGCCTCTAACTCTTTCTATGTTGTTCAGGCTGGCTCCCACCTCAGCCTTGCAAAGCACTGGAATTACAGGTGTGAGGCACCACCTGGCCTGAGTCTTTTATTATAGTAAAATAAATCAGCCTTTTGTATGTATTCCCCAGTCTTTGTGACTTTCTCTAGCATAAAAGCTGTTAAAACTTCCTAAAACTCAAATTTTTCAGTGTCTGTTGTTCATCAAACAGAACAGACAATTTTTATATTTTGTCATTCCTTTCAGACAAAAATGACCTTTCGATATTCACATTTTTCTATTTCAAAAAAATAACTATTTCATCCATCACAATTTCTCTGAACAAAAGTTTACACATTTATAACACAAGTATACTGGTATAAAATTGTCTCAAAGAAGACCAATAATGCTAGCTTACTATGTTATAATATGATAATTATATCTTTCTTAGATTTAATGTACAAATACAATAATAATAAAATAAGCTCAGAATAATTAAATTCAGAATAATAATTCTGGCTGTCAAAAACAGGTAATCCCACTTGACAGCAATATTAAACTAAATATCAGCTTTTAGACTGTACTTTTTATCACATGTTAATATAACAATAATCTTAGAGTAATTTAATTTTATTTTTACAATTTAAGCATGACATTATATTAAACAATTATAATTTTTATATTCTAAATCTGAAAAGCCAAATCAAAATATTCTACACGATTTATGTCATTATAAGTTAACATTAAACACAAATTGGATACGAGTTTAACTCACACTTACCCATGAAATTGAGATAGCCTTCTCCACCAAGCCCATGAGTAATAAGTCGAATCATTTTATGAAGCTGTATTCCACGATCGATAACTGGAGTGAAAGGAGTCAGGACACTCATGTTTGTGTACATTTCTGCATCCATCAACCAAAATGCCAGAGTCTTATCCCCAACCAATGCCTATAGAAATGAAAGTAATGGAGATAAATCAAGAAGAAAAAGTGCTATGTAGTCGTGATTTACAATAGAATAACACATGCTTGCACATGACAGTAAACACTGTAGAAGAGGTGTGTAGATCAGCATTAATTTCAGGTATTTTCCACTGGTGATTTTCTAAGCTGAAAGTAAGCTGGTAAAATATGTTAGAAATCAACACATTTGTTTTCAGGACTAATTTTTATTTTTAAAAGTAAAAAATTCATGATAAGGTACCTGCAGATTTGTTACATCTGAGCTGACACTTGACATTTTCTGAAACATTTATTATTTCAGAAAATGTGGAGAATATTACATTAGAATTTTATATAGTTGTATATAATGATTTCATTTGCTTTGAAAAAAGTTTCTGAAAAATCATTTATAGTTATATATATAAATAATATAAAACATATATATATAAGTAATATATGTGTATAAATATATTACAATAGTACCTTCCTGCCCTCAGCAGAGAAAATAGTTGAGAACTTTTATTTAAGTGTAAATTTGCTTTCTCTGTATTTTCCATTTAATCTAGTTTATTTTACCTGAAAATATAATAATTAATACCTGGGGCAGGTAACTCAGAAATGCCCTGAATAACAGAAGAGAGACCTCCTAAAAATCTGAATTATTTACAGTTAAAACCATCTAACTAATGAAGTATTCATCATGGACAAAACAGTAACATAGAGTGTAATGTATAATAGAAATTAACCCATAATCTCAGTACCCTATTATAATTATTTTCATTTCCTAGAAAAACTTTTGCTTAAAATTTAACCCACTTTAATTAAAATGACTTTTCTTTAAAAATTGTTATAAGATTTATATGACTACTTCTTAAACAATTCACCTTCTCTGCTTGTTTTTAATTCTTTAATTATATTTTTAGCTATAATTATTTATTTCTATGTCTGATTCCATTATAAAATTATTTTAATATCTTTTTATGAGGTTCACAGATAAAGCTTATTCTCATATCAAGTTGCCCTCCTAAAAATCCTGTTGAGATACTGGTAAAACTAAGTTAATTTTACAAATGTAACTGTTAAGAATTTGTCTCAAAAGTTTAAAATAACATCCATAAACATTTCACTATAAAGTATATATTTTTATTTATTCATTTTACATGTATTTATATAAATTTATATTTTTTATCAGGCTTAAGAATCAAAGTACATTTGCTTTCAGAAAGAACTAGTCAACCTGCATTCTTTCTGCTATCCTGACAGTTCTTGAAAATATGAGCAGAACTACTTGAATTCTTAAAGTATGAAGTAATTCTTGGTAAATCTGTATTTTTACAGATGAGGTAAAAGAAATCTGTTTCGTCTTCAATTTTTTCATGCCACTCATTCGTTTACTCTTTCATTCACACAAAATAAACACATGCTGAGCATTCACTATGCGCTGCAACTTCAATGACTTTGCAATAGAAAGCTATAATTTATGCATATATTTTAATTTTCAAATGGTTATGCATTTGGTGAAAGTTTACCCCTTCAACACTCCAACCACTCACCGATTAAACTAATACTATTCTTTTCTAGACTGGGTTCTACTTTTTTTGATAGATATTTATCTTATCTGCTCTACGGACAAGGATAATATAAATTTAAGTTAAGAAAGCACAGCCCCAATTTGGAAGACACAAAAATTAACATACGTTTACTTTGGAGGTCACCAAGTTTCTCTACGTGTGGGCCACTTTCTCTGTCTCAACTACTCAAATGCTTCATTTTGGCACAAAGTAGAATACATAAATGAATGAGCATGGCTGTGTTTCAAGTAACTATATTTACCAAAACAGGAAGCAGATAGGATTTGGGCCTCGGCCTTGGTTAACCAACCCCTGCTCTACTTACACTTTCTTAACAATGCGAGGAGACACCTGAAAAAATCATGTTTACATTAAATGGCCAATGTCTGCAAAAATGATAGAGAAACATTTAGTTTCAATTTTTAATAAAAATACTTTAATTTAGAAAATTTAATTGTCTCCATTTTAATCTACAGAAAGTAAATTTTATGTTGATGTGAAAAAGGATTAGTATCACTTTAAATAAGTGGCCTTTTTTCTCTATTTTAACAATATTTATTAAGTGATTATTAGGACCAGTCACAGTGCTAAAGGCTGGAAATAGAAAGACAATGAAAAAAAAATTCTATCCCTAAAACATAATGGAGGAGGGACAACTATTTTCTCACTATATGAAACGAGGAAGGCTTCATATAGAATGTGATGTCAGATCCAGGCAATTAGGTCTGAGTAGGAACTTCCCAGATACAGATGCATGCAGAAAAGTACAAGATTGGAAAAAGCTGACCTATTTGGAATGGGTGGGGATTTGAAAGTATTGAAGCACAGGAGGCTTGGAGAGTTGGGCAGAGAATGAAGCTGAAAACTTTGGCTTGGGCCAAATTATGAGTGACTTTGAATTACAGGCTTCGACCAATTGATCTCGGTTGACAAGATGAGCTTTCCTCTTTGGAAAATATCTCAGTGTGTATTCAAGAAGGCAAAGGCTGGAAGATACAGGGGTCAGGGTGATCGATTAGCAGGAGGTTTCAGTGATTGAGGGGAAAAATGAAGAATGCTTGTCAAAGCATAAAAGAATATCCCTAGAACGAAACCTAAGATGGAAACAAAAATAACCCTGGATCAGTACCAATGTTCTTCATTATGACAAGGGAAAGAAAACGTAATACTTGCAACTGCAATGCATAATCTATTACAGTTTGGCAGGACAAACATACTACTGCATTTTGAAACTGGAGTTTCTACATCTATAAATTTAACATTTTTTCTAATATCAGTAGTTTTCCTGTAAAGATATATATTTACACACACACACACACACACACACACTATACTAAGTATAGAAGTTTATACTTTGATATGCTTATATTTAAATATGTTATTAAGGAAAGTGAAAAAGAGAGAGAGAGGGAAATGAATTTATACACATATTCATTTACCTGATCATGGCTCTCTGCGTAAGCAATGCACTTTTCAAGGTAGCGCCTGTTTGTGAGAGTGTATACTATATTGCCCATATTCCAGTCTTCATCTTTAAACTCTTTAAGCAGCTAGACACAAGACAGAAAAATTAGCTTCTGAGTAAACTATTACTTTTTAAATTTTAAATCCCAATCTGAAGGTATGCATTATTTCAGTGCAAACTAGCTGGTACTCAGATATTAACCCACCCATATAGCAAAGTTATCACTGTTTAAACTTTTACTGCAATCACAGCTTTTATACAGAATGTCCAAGTGACAGTGGTGTAGAGTGTGTGTGTGTGTGTGTGTGTGTGTGTGTAGTATGTATTTGCTTTTGTGCAGTTTAATCATTACATTTTAGGATCTTTGCAGCTTTTTTTCTGTAATAACTGCTACCTCTTGATAGCTGACCACAGTAATGGGTTATTGCACAGTATGTCTTTGTTTTAAATTGCATTTTAGGTTTTGGGGTACATGTGAAGAACATGCAAGATTGTTGCATAGGTACACACATGGCAGTGTGATTTGCTGCCTTCCTCCCCTTCACCTATATCTGGCATTTCTCCCCATGCTATCTCTCCCCAACTCCCCACCCCCCACTGTTCCTCCCCTATTTCCCCCCAACAGACCCCAGTGTGTAGTGTTCCCCTCTCTGTATCCATGTGTTCTCATTGTTCATCACCCAGCTATGAGTGAGAACATGCGGTGTTTGATTTTCTGTCCTTGTGTCAGTATGTCTTTCTATAACTTGCACATGGTACAGGTATACTTGTTACATATTTTTTGTTTACATGTAGAGAAATTTGTAAAAAGTGTTTTGTTTCATTTTTTAAAAAATGATAAAATAACAATTATTTCAAATTTTAAAGCTAATTAACAGCAAATAATTACCCTCTTAACAGACCACACATTTTGTGTCTGCATGTCAATTTCCATTCAGTCTTCAGTCTGGCTCTGTCCCTCTAACACTATACTTTCATGCAATTGAACTTGCCGAAGTTAAGCTTGTAGTCCCAGCTTAAGTTAGTAATTGCTCTTTCTTAAGTAAATACTTGCTATACATATTGACATTGCTGATCCTTTCTCCTCCCCATGAACTTCTTCCTTTATTAGTCTATGACTGAAACTCTTGTTTATATTGTTTTGATTTTTCCCGTCACTCCTGACATACTCTGAATTATCTTCCTCTGTTCGTCCTATAAAGGCTGATGTTCCTCAGGATTATGTCCTCAATTTAGTCTCCCTCTTTAATTCACACACACTCATACATAACATAACTGAGAACATAAACAGTTCTCATAATTGCAGTACGAATCATCAGGCAGAAGAGCAACCATCCATAGATGGGCACAGCCTAATCCACGATTATCCTTCTAAAAAGCAAACATGAGTGTTGAAATAAGAGAGAGATTTGAAGATGTAATACTGCTGCTTTGAAGACAGAAGAGGGAGACATGAGCCAAGGAAATAGGCAGCTTTTAGAAGTGAGAAAAGGCAAGGAAATGGCTTCTCCCTTAGAGTCCCCAGAAGAAATGCAGCCCTGTCAATACCTTGATTTTAGCCAGTAAAACCCATTTCATTTTTTGTAACATACAGAACCGTTGTGAATTTGTGCTGTTTACGCCACTAAGTTTGTGGTAAATAGGCATAGGAACAACAGGAAACTAATATATAGACCTAACAGAAATGTGCCAGACTTTTGACAAAAGGGCCAAAGCAATTCAGTGGAAGGAGGGCACATGTTTCAACAAATGATGGAGCTGAAAGAATTGAATATCCATAGGAAAAAAGAGAAAGATAAAGAACCTTGAGCTAATATATTGCACAAAAATTAACTCAAAATGGGTCATGGACTTAAAATATAAAAAATGAAAACAAGGTAAAAATGTTAAATTGGCCTTCATCAAAATTTAAAAAAATATTGCTCTGTGAAAGCCAATGTGAAGAAGATGAAAGAACAAGCTTCAGACTAGGAGAAAATATCTGATTATGATATATCTGGCAAAGGGTTGAATCTAAAATATATAGAGAATCTCAAAACTCCACAGAAAATAAACAACATAATCAGGGAATGGTTAAAAGACATGAACAGATCCCTCACCAAAGAGGACATGAAGGAGGCAAATAGGCACATGCTTGGTATCCAGCCAGCATTATAAACCATTTGAAAAATAATATAAATTAAAACCACAATGAGATATAACTACATGCTGATTATAACAGCTAAAATAAAAAAGTAGTGACAACACCAGATGCTGGGAGGATGTATAGGAGCAAGTCTTTCAAACATCACCAGTAGGAACGTAAAATGTGACAGCTACTTTGGAAAACAGTTTAGCAATTTCTTAAAAAAATAAACAGGGAATTACTATGTGGTTCAGTAAATGCAGTGTTTGAGCTCTTATTTCATAATTATGAAACTTTTGTTGATAAAAAACAAGTACACACATATACACAGTAACTTTATTCATCATAGCCATAACCCGGAAACAACCTAGATGTTTTTCAATGGGTGAGGGGTTAAACTGTGGTATACCTCTGCCTTGGAATCGTATTGAATGTGCTGTTGATACATGCAACAAAAATGTTGAGTGTAACAACATTGGATGTTTTCTTGAATAAATCTCAAGAAAATTTTGCTAACTGAAAATGCCAATACAGGAAGTTCACAAACAGTATGATTCCATTTACATAATATTTTTGAAATGATGAAATTATAGAAATGGAGATCATAGTAGTGGTTACCAGGGGTTAAGGAGTGATTAGAGGCAGGCAAATAAGAAGGTGTTACTCTAAAGGCAACAGGAGGGAATCTTCTGGCAATGGAAGTATTTTGCACCTTGAGAAAATCAGTGTCAGTATCCTGGTTATAATACTATCCTATAGCTTTGCAAGAAGTTACCACTAAAAAACTGATTGAGTATACCAGATCTCACTGTATTATCTTCCAACCGCATGTGAATCCACAATTATCCAAATATCTCAGAAAGTTTAATTAAAAAACCATATTTATTAAAAAATAGTAGGTGCCCAGTAAATATTTGGTTGAATTAACAGATCAATGAGTTCATTAGACACAAACATCACCTTAACAAAAATACTTCAAAGATGATCTAATTTTTAAAAAGAAAGGAGATACAGAAAATTTGGCATACTTTAGATAGTCAAAAATTTGTTCATTAAATGCTTAATCTAAGAATGGTATTCCAAACCAATGATTTTGAAATAACACAACAAGAAATAATAAATAATCTGCTTTTGAACAACAAAAACATGAATGAAATCTAGCCTTCTAGCATTCTAATCTGACTCATACTGTATGCATAGATAACAGCACAGGCCATAGACAATCTGTGTACAGTTATCTGATTTAATAGCTCTTGTGTTTTGTTGACATGTAAGAAGAATGGGAGACATTTGTTGAATTTTTTTTAAATGTATAACTTACAGAAGTAGAGGAAAATCACTGTGTCAAAGGGTTTTGTTGTGATATTATTTTAATTCAGTTTTATTAACTAAGGGTGGACCCAATTTGGTGATACAATAAGAATTTTAAATAATTACATAAAATAGAAAATGATAACTACTTTCAGAGAATTTATAATCTAAAATAGGATGGTCATAGCATATGTTTAGGATAAACCATTTTTTCTATTTGATAACTATAATTATTATAGTTGTCATGTATGTTGACTAAGTATGATACACTACCTAATATATTACCTTCAGCATACAAGGCCCTTAAATGTTTATTAGGTTAAATTTCAGTATTTTTTAAGCTACCATAAATACTCAGAGAGGAAATATCTTACTATATGCTATTACTGACTGAAAAATAATTCTAGGTTGATGTACACCTTAAAAGATTATTGAATGTGAACAAAGAATGAGCAAGGCTTTTAGCAGGATGTTAAAAAGTAAGATTTGTCACTTGTGAGGAAAAAAAGTCTACATGAAAAAATTAGAAATAGTAAGAGATGGGCTGATATAGAACCTTATACCAAAATGAGTAACTTGAAGACCACAGCATTTTTTTAAAAGCAACAAATATAAGGCTACCTTCCCATGTATTAAAGGAGAATACACCTTTGTTTGTTTGTATATTTTTAAGTGATAATCTTTATGAAATACTTGTTTTGGGACCTGATAATGTTTAAGGAATTATTGTAAATGTAGGAGCAGAAGTTATGTTGGCTGAAGTTTAATGTCACAGCTACGCATTGCACAAATCCCCAGGGGGACAGTAAAGACAGCTAAGAAATGACTATAGTCAGTAACCACTTCCTTAAGAGCAGGCTCTATGGTTGTTCTGCACAAAATTAAGCCCTTCTTCAACTGTGGTCTCATGGGACCAGTTCATATCCGTAATAAAGGCTCATCGGAAAGCTATGATTTTTTTGAATACATATCTGACCCCTTATACATATTCAGCCCATGACTGTCAACATGGCTGCTACCGTATGTTCTATATCAAACCTAAGTCTTGACTTTAGTCGTTTAGGCAAACATTAACCGAAAAAAATCCAAACTACTTGAACTATCATTAAATTTAATAAAATTTTATCGATAAATGATGTGCAAAGTACTATGTATAGTTATTCATTCCCAGTGTCTGGCACATGGTAAGGACTTTTAAATGCTGAATAAAAGAATGGATGAATCCAAGTTTATTGAGGAAAAATCATACAGTTAAGCAGTTACTGGGAATTAAGGAATAACTTCTACATTAATGCATGATTTATAGGCATAAATGAATGCTTTAATGAAGTCTAATGTGTATTAAATATAGAGCACTGAAGTTTCATATAATTGCATTGTTAATGCAAAATTCCATTTATACAGCTAATATTATATTAATCATATTTTCCACTTGCCTGAATAACATAAGTATGAATACTTTAAATTAGAACTTTTAACATTTTCGGAAGCATCTTATTAAAAAGCATAAGAATTGACAGACTAAAAAAAGAATTTAATACTTCAATTATAATATCTGTAACTAACGATCATAACTAAGAAATAAATTAAAGATAAATTAAGCAACATAGTATGCACAGAAACAAAAAGTATTTACATGGACTCTTACCTGAATCCACTTATCCGGAATTGCCATGGCTAGTCGATAGTCGAAACCACCCCCTCCCTGGGAAATTGGAGAGCACAGAGCTGGCATTCCTGATACATCCTAAGACAGAAAACATCACGTCTTAATGATCAAACTTTTAGTGAATATTCTGACAGTAAAGCCCAGGCCAATAAGTGAAAACAATAACCGGGGCATATACTTTGGGGCTGCTTTGGTAACATGATTGTAAAAGTACGTAAAATTGTGATAGCGCATTTCATTTCCTAACAAAACATTTTCCTGCTGTTTTCACTCCAGGCAAACTTTAATCTCATTAAGCTATTCTTTTCTTTTCTTCAGTATCACCTAGAGAACACAAAATAGTAAAACTATTATTGTTAAAACATAGTTCCTTATTTTGAAACTACTGTAAAACATTTTTTATTAGTTTTGTTGCTTTCATCAAGCACAAAAATGCATGTGGCAGAAATCTGCTATATTTGTTCTTTCTGTATACAGTTCTGATAGGGAGTGTATTTTTGTGAGCACTAGCTTTTGATAAAATAAAATGTAGAGTTAGTACATTAAAAGTGAAACAGTACAGTTGCTTTTACTATAGAAGCTTACACTTAGAGGGGTCTTTGAGATTAGGTAGGGATTATCGCCATTTAGCAAACACAGAAACAGAGGCTTATTAAGGTGAAGGATCTCTCAAGATAGAGAATTTTTTTTTTTTTGAGACAGAGTTTTGCTCTTGTTGTCCAGGTTGGAGTGTAGTGGCGTGATCCTGGCTTAATGCAACCTCTACATCCCAGGTTCAAGCAATTCTCCTGCCTCAGCTTCCCAAGTAGCTGGGATTACAGGCGCCCACCACCACTCCCGGCTATATTTTTTGTATTTTTAGTAGAGATGGGGTTTCACCATGTTGGCCAGGCTGGTCTCAAACTCCTGATCTCAATGATCCACCTGTCTCAACCTCCCAAAGCCCTGAGATTACAGGCGTGATCTACCGCACCTGGCCAAGATAGAGGATTATTAATGATAGAGCTAGAATTCAGATATCAAGCTTTTTGACAGTATGTCCTTTCTACTCTTTTATGCCACCACTAGACAATTAGTAATCCAATAATTAGTCAAATAAATAAAATTAATATAACAAAATATATTATTAAGACAATGATAGGAGAATGAGCTAAGTGCTATCAGTTCTAATTCCACAATATCTTTCAAGTAAGTCACTTTCCGTTGCTCTATTACCACAGCCACAATCTTATTTAACCTTCATTACTTCTGGCCTAGACCATATCCAAATGACAGTCCCCATTTCCACGTTCTCCTTATACTAACTGCTGCCCAATTCAGGTCTTATGAGAGACTCTGTTCCTATTACTGCCCTTCAATAGATTTCAATAGCCAATAACAGAAAATTCAAATTCCTTAGTTTAGGATTCAATTCAACAATTACATATTAAGCATTTCCTATAAGATTTGCTATCCAATTAGCTGCTTCCCTACTCCCTGTTATTATTTAGGAACCATGAAGGCACAAGTTTATAGTAGTTGGCCACTGATATACCCCAAGAATCTAGAATAGTTAAATAATACTTGGCACAAGGAGGTTGTTCAGTAAACATTCATCGAGTGAATGAGTGAGGTGCTCTGAGGGATTAAAAAATAAGACGTAATATCTGACTTTCTTAGATTCATAAACTAGGACCTAAATACACATAAACATATTTATGGTTTATAAAGTAGAAAAAAGATGATCAGTAGAAAAGAAGCCATTCAACAGTTCTGTTTATCAAAATCTAAGTCGCATTTTCACAGACAGGATTGGATGAATATGTATTAAATATCAGGCACCATGTTAGGAACTAGAATTATAGACACAATGCCTTGTAAAAAAGTTTCAAAAGACCAAACTGTTAAGAATGACTGGTGATGGGCTTGTATTAAAGATCAAGATAAATTTTCTCAAGGCAATATTAAGGCATGCTCTACACCCAGTCTCAGTGTTGTGTTAAGAAATAGAATCTGCTAAGAAAAACATACGGTCATTATGAAACCCAATCATCCCATAGACAGATTTTTCTGGATAAACATAGAAATCAACCCTTTTGAAAAGCTTGAAACCTGTATTTATCCCTCAGGCTTCTCGAAAAGTAGCAAAGAACTGAAACTCACCAAATCATGGCAATGAGACGCCATACCAGTCACTCATGATTGCTTCCTTACCTTTCTCTAGTTCTGTTTTCTTATACATTGTTACATTTACTTCCTACGATATGAATGCCTAATTTTAGTTGATCAGAGAGATGGGTTTGAGACTGAGCAAAGCCTTCTTCTTCAGCAATAATCATTGTTCAGTGATTGGCTTTCTGTGCAGCAAGCAGCAGGACCTAGATGAAGCCCTGATGTTTAGTAACAATCATATGGTCCTGACTCTTAAATCTGCTTCCTAGAAAGCTGCCCGCCTCTTTGATGCATATGAGTTATTTGCAGCCCTCTTTTGAAAGTAGAAGTTAGTGACAATTCTTTTAGAATTTCTAAGGAAAAAAAAGGTAAATTATAAAGGTCATCAAAATAAACATATTCTAAATATAAAACAGTTGTTGCCTAATCATATGGCATATGAAAATGATTCTGTGTTTGGGATGAAATTAAAATAGTTCTAATTTTTTACTATCTAAAGAGCACTTATAACCATTCCAGAGGGAAAAAAATGCCTCAGTCAAAAATGTTTTAATATAGAAAATATAATAATAATGTAAAATGGTAGATTTATTTGAGCAAAATAAGGTTTCAATTTTTATAACTGTCATTATAAATAAATTCATATTTCTACTAAAGAAATTTATATAAAATTACATTGCTTATTCATTCAAATACATTCCTTTTCTTAAAGAAAAAGGTCATGGGGATTAATTCTACATTTTTAAGAGACTCCCATTGGACAGAAAAGTGAAGTACTGAAATTGAAGTAGTTTTCAATTTAAGTAGAACAAATTGAAGGCACATCTTGTTTTTTATAAAATCTAAAACCAAGTAATATAAAGTAGGCTAAAGTCTCAATGTTTCATTGGTAGAAACACTGATAATCAGACCAAAGCTCCCTAGATGATGAAACTACTTTACTTGAAATGAATGGAAAGATCAATGTAACAATTTTAAGTTTCATATATTAAATCATTGCTCCTTTTTCTTCAGTACCCATTTTTGACTTGTGTTGTCATCAATTGTTTGCAGTAATTTGTCATTTGTAATATCTCTGCTTCAGAATGCCATAAATATCATTGACAAAATAATTAATTTTTGATGTTTGACAAATAAAATTCAAATATACAGAAGACAAAAGTTTAAAATAAACTCTGATGTTAGAGATATTCAGCACAAAAAACATTATTACAAGTATTAGCAAGATGTGCTCCGATCAAATGTAGGTAGGAAGTGACTATGAAATATTACTGGGTTTCTAAATTGTATGATAGGATGTTGTTTGTTTTTTAATTGTACATAAGAACAAATTTCAGGAATTTAGGGCTACTGCTGTATTTCCAGAAAATACTTAGAGAGTAAAATGCCTAAATGGAATAAAACTATTCTCTATCCAAGCAATGAAATTGTAACATTTATAAAATTGTAGATTTCTGATTTTGAGAAAGGATGGATATAAAAACAGTCTATACAAAAAAACAAATACTACAGGAAAGAAACTGACTATTGCATTTCATGCCAATAAACTAAATACCAACAATGTTAAAATACACCTTAATTCTGACTCTTTATAACAAGTCTTACTATTTTTATATGCCATCCACTGTACTTTACATAGAAAAGTTTTCACATGCTAAATTCAATTTTAATAATAATTCGTAGTTAGAGAACTTAGAAAACCAGAGGGATTTTAGCACTAAATCTAAATTAGCATAAGCATTTAACAAACTTCTTAATTTATCACATTTATCACCAAGAGGGGAATTGTCAATTATGCATATATGGAATTATATCATTACAGTGCAGCTTTGGGACAGTTAATCATGAACCTTCAAGAATCATGAATAACTAGTGAACACTTGGCAATCTGAGAGCAATAACATAAACAAGAAAGGTAATCACATCAGAAAAAGAAAGGCTTCAGAGAAGCTTGCAGGCAGTGATCCATCCCATCTCTAATGACTGAGCCACAAAAGAAAAAAATAATAACAAATGGACAGAAACACATTAATATTCAATTCTTTTCTCTGCTGAAGGTCTCACGGTAGAAGGGCCTGTCCACTGATTAGGACATTTAACTTTCTAACCACTGGCATTTTCTTTTTAACAATAGAATGGTGACAAGTAATTAGTATACATTACCTTTTAATAGGGAAACAGTGAATTTTAAATAATGTGTCACCCTTACAAGATAGCTGCAGTATACTCAGGGTAGAATTTCATTTACACGCTTATTGACAACATGAGATTGATTAATCAGATATGTATGCTGACAAAATGCTCTCTATTAAAGGGGGTCAGAAGGTAAGACTTCAACACAGCTTTACCTCAGCAACTGTTATAGAATCTGGATACAACGTGTGAGCCAAATGATTTGCCAACATGAGGTAAGTCAAGGCATCTTCATCTACTTGTAGTCCGAAATATTCACTGTAATCACCTGAAAAACCTTGACCTTAGAAAAAGAAAATCAATACGAATTATATTAATAAGCAAGTCTTAACTCTGCACAAATACATCCACCAATTAGTTTGTTTATATGAATTTTGTTATTGTAGCAAAGTTTAATGATAACGTAACCATGAGTAACTATACTGACTAGTTTAATGAAAACATATCCATCAGCAAATATACTGACTTAGAAAAGTACTACACGTCAACATTCAATCTTGCAAATCAATTCTGTCTGACAGATGCACACAGACAAGTAAAACAAAGCACTTTAAAGATTTAATTTAAACAAATTATGATGCAAAAAAGTGAAACCAATACTAAAGAGAATTCTGAATATCAAATTTTCAATACATTTTCTGTCACATTAAGATGTTAATGTTAGCTTGTAATAGATACCTCAAGATAAGGAAAAGAAAACAGAAAAACCCCAATAAAATTGAGACATAATATTTACATTATTTCAAACATGTACTGGAATTTATGCAATATGGAGTTTCCTATGATAAAGAGATTACATACTCTCAAACTTTCTCCTACTTCCTCTTCTGCCACCTCCTAATTTTAGTTAGTTACAGAATGTTTCACTTACGGGGTTTATACCATTTACTTTCCATTATTTCAGTACTTTACTCATTGTTATAATAAAATCAAATTTGTGCTCAACATCAGCCTTTTTTCCTGTTTCTCTATATCTAAGTTCTATTGATTTTTTTTTTCAGTTTTCTGGATTCTATCTCTGAGGGATATTTTCAATTGTAATTATGGAAGTCTTATCTTCGAGTTCTTTCATGTTTATATTCAGCAGCAATACAACTGCCAAGTTTCTCATTTTTGTTTGATACTGTCATTCTTTAATTTAAAAATATTTAATTGACAAAAACTATGTATTCAAGGTTTCCAAGGTACTGATTTGATATAGGTATACACTGTATACTGATTACTACACTCAAATTAACATATTCATCACCACCCATAGTTACCATTTGTGTGTGTCTGTGTGTGTGTGTGTGTGTGTGTGTGTGTGTATGATAAGGATATCTAAACTCTGCTCTCATCAAATACCAAGTAATATTATTATTATTTTTTTTTATTTTATTTTTTTTTGAGACGGAGTTTCGCTCTTGTTACCCAGGCTGGAGTGCAATGGCACGATCTCGGCTCACCGCAACCTCCGCCTCCTGGGTTCAGGCAATTCTCCTGCCTCAGCCTCCTGAGTAGCTGGGATTACAGGCACGCGCCACCGTGCCCAGCTAATTTTTTGTATTTTTAGTAGAGTCGGGGTTTCACCATGTTGACCGGGATGGTCTCGATCTCTTGACCTCGTGATCCACCCGCCTCGGCCTCCCAAAGTGCTGGGATTACAGGCGTGAGCCACCGCGCCCGGCCCCAAGTAATATTATTAACTATAGTTACATTAGATTCCACATAGCTTATGCGCCTTAAAACAAAAGTCTGTGCCCTTTGACCAACACCTCTCTGTTTCTTCCACTCCCCAGCCCCTGGCAACCATCATTCAACCAGCAAATTTTTGAGTCACACTTTGTAAGACTTTTGCAGACATTGCTCCTGGCAATACAATACTATGAATCCAATCACTTTTTTTTTTCATGCATGCAGGTAAACTTTGGGTAAATTCATCACCTCCTGATGAATCTGAGGAGTTTCTCTTTATTACTGAGTTTATAAATTAAATACTGTGTCTTGACATTAACTGGTTTATCTCCACTTTTCTGGTATTATATTTGATCTTTTGCTGTGCAGTTTCAGGGGTTTTGTACATTGCGTTCCCTCATTCTAAGGGAGACAAACATGTTAAGTAACTCAGAATATTTTTTTTCACCATTTCTTGGATTCTCTATTCATAAAAAGCACATCCCATATCTATAAACTTTGGTTCAGTTCTCTAATACCACAAATCCCTGGAATATACCCCTCTCTCATGAGGGAGTTTCTTCAGGGGCACTTAGGTGTTTAGGAAAGGATTTTTCTTAACTTTTGCCATCCTTGCCTTTGTATACCATAAGTCAGCTTCCCCGAAACGGGAAGATATATATCAATGAAATCTGTCGTGTTTTATAGATTTGACTTCTTTCCTAGGAACATTTCAAGCAGGCAGCGTCATGAGTAAGATCAAGCAGTAGCACACGTTGAACGTTTAGCTTCTGTTCTTGGCAGTCACTTTTCAAGATTTACATTCAAGTTTTTCACCCCCTTTTTTTGTTGACTGTTTATTGCTGGTGAATACTTGGCTATGAAAAAATAATAATAAGTGCCCAGGTGCAGCGGCTCACACCTGTAATCCCAGCACTTTGGAAGGCCAAGGCGGGAGGATCACCTGAGGTCAGAAGTTAGAGACCAACCTGGCCAAAGTGGTGAAACCTCGTCTCTCCCAAAAAAAAAAAAAAAAATATTACCCAGGCATGATGGCGGGCATCTGTAATCCTAACTATTCCAGAGGCTAAGGCAGGAAAATGGCTTGAACCAGAGAGACGGAGCTTGCAGTGAGCAGAGATCGTGCCACTGCACTCCAGCCCTGGTGACAAAATGAGACTCTGTCTTAAAAAAAAAATAATAATAATTGTTCCCATGTCATCTATTGAGGGATTAGTATTCTGTGATTCCACTTTGTACAACTTTCAAACTGAGAGTCTGATGAATATTTGTATAATTTAATTTTAACCAGGTGAATCTATAATTAAAATATATATTTTGTTTAATGTGTAATATGTAAAAACCTACGCATTCACAACTGTTCTCTTTTATTATTTTTAATTTTCATTAGAAGTGCTGTAGGGTTCACATCCTGAGGGATAAATGGCTGTTCCTCAAAGAAATGTATAAGCTACATACTAATAACAGCATATTAAGCATATATATATATAAATTCTTTTTTTTAAAGAGTTTTGCTCTTGTTGCCCAGGCTGGAGTGCAATGGTGCAATCTCAGCTCACCCCAACCTCCGCTTCCTGGGTTCAAGCAATTCTCCTGTCTCAGACTCCAGAGTAGGTGGAATTACAGGCATGCACCATCACGCCTAGCTAATTTTTTGTATTTTTAGTAGAGATGGGGTTTCTCCTTGTTGGTCAGGCTGGTCTCCAACTCCTGACCTCAGGTGATCTACCCGTCTTGGCCTCTCAAAGTGCTGGGAATATAGGCGAGAGCCACTGCACTCGGCCTTAAGTAGATATCTTTCAAAGGAAATTACTGTCTTTTGCTTACTTATAAAATGTACATAATACTGTACCACCTGTCAAAACATATTACTGTATCACCTGTCAAAATTGGATAATAAATTACTGCAGAGAAGGCATACATAATAGAACTAATAAAAATCAAGAAAGCAGCAATGGTCATTGAAGCTTCTGCAATTAATTCCAAGCCTGATTATGATAGTCTGGTAAAAAAAAAAATGAAATCAAATCATTAATTACATCTGTAATGTATCAGGTCACCTACCTATTCCATGGTGATGGTAAAGCATGGATGTAACACCATCAAAACGAAATCCATCAAAGCGATATTCTTCCAACCACCATCTTATGTTTGACAGAAGAAACCTTAAAACTTCCCAGCTAAGAGAGAAAGGAAATATGTGTTTAAGCAAATGTAAAGAGTGTTTTGCTTCATTGTTATAAATGTTTGCTATTTACTAAAATTATAAGGCTCTATCTCAAGAATCATGATGTTCAAGAAATAGAACATATGTAAAAACCAGAAAATTACTAACAAGTATCTACCTGATATGTTTGATGAAACTTACTCTAAAAGGAAAAATTATTAATTTTAATTCAAAAAAGTCACTTACTATCTAAGCAAATTTAGAGAAAAAATTGTTTAACATGAACTCCGAAATCGGGAAGCCTGTCTTATTTAATGCGGTGTTCCCCGCAACCAAAGAAGTGATGATTGCATAGTAGTGCTCAAAAAAAGCAAAAGAATAAACTCTATTATCCATCCCTGAATTTTTACAAAGCCTTTTCATGTAATATATCCATAGCTATGTGATTTTTCTCCTTTCAGAAAATGCATTTTCATTATTGGGAGAAAAATGTAATTCCAATGACTTTTTGCTTAAAATATATCCTCATGTTACAATTTCAAACAGATATGATTCAGAATTAAAAAGAAAATCAACCACATGGTAAGAAATATTACATCGACTAAACTGTTGTTTTGTGGAGGTAAAAAAAGAAAACCTAATTACCAAAAACCACATATGAATAAAGTACAAAGTTTTACCAGTTAAGGAGTCCCACATCCATAAAAACAGAAGGAAAACAAAGAAACCGTATAACTCAATTAAAAACACCACACAAAACAAGTCTGCTTTGGACAACTGAAAATAAAGCATCATCAATTTGTATTTTCTTTAGTCATATAGTTATGGTTGAGTTCTCTCTCTTATTATAACTGTGGTTTTAAGACTTTAGTACCTCATTTAGTTTAATGGCAAAGCTCCGTAACAGTGCACACAAATCTTTAGCCCAGTTGAAATTTAGGTATTTTTAAAACCTTCCATATATTAAAGAGCGACCCGACATAAATGAAGATTAAGTCATCAAAGTTAACTTCAGGATTGCAAATCCAAACTTTGGGGAAAGGTGAGTGTTGTTAGTGATTAACTGTTTTAAATAAGTTACTTTGACTTTCGAAAACTTACTAAATTAAAAAAAAAAAAAGTAAAGAAAAGAAATGCAAGCCATCTAGTAGCTATAAAATGGAGTCAGGAGGTTAAGATTTTAAGGTTAAGCAATGTTGAAGGTAATATTTGCTTATGTTTCTGTTAATGTACATTCATATAGTTTAAGGGGAGAAATCCTGTTTAACAAGAAGACATGAATAGAAACAAAGACATATTCTTGAACTGTGTAAGATCAAAATCACCGATTTTGCATAGGAATTTCAATTACTATATTGTGTATAGTTTTCTCATAATTAATAAATTTTATTTTTTAGAGTTTTGGATTCACAACAAAATTGAAAGGAAGGTACAGAGTTTCCTGTCTCCAAATGTATATCTGTATTTTGTAACAAGTTTGGTGTATGAGAATTTCAGAAAGACTTGAATAAAACTGCATACAAATAATCATTTGAAAATAATATATTCTTATAAGAAAAGGAAAAAATAAATGAATTATATTGCAATTCAGTGAAAAACAGAAGAGGGAAATCATGTAACTTGATCACTGAAAAGAAAAATTGCCTAGTGTGACAGATGTTATTAAAAGTCAAGGTAGTAAAAGTCCTATTCATTTCTTTTACCACAATATTTAATCTATTCTATTCTTGACCAAACGAGGAAATAAACTGTGTTTAAAATATTAAAAGAAAAGGACACGTTTGGGAATAACTATGTTAGTAGACAGATTCTTGGCATGTATGAACAACAACAAAAATTCCTGTGATAGAAAAGGAACAATAGTAACAATGGAGCATATAATTCAAAAGTTCTCATGGGTTAAAAAATGCATTGTATTCTCAGATCTCTGAAATATTTTTACACACTGTCTAAAAAAAACAGTCTGTTAAAAACTACTACAAGTTTAAAATGATAGATCAAATTTCTAGTGCTTTTAAATTTATTTTATATTTTATGAATCATTAATGAAATAAAAAACAAAATTTGATGAGAATAAACTATCTAGAGCAAAATCGTGAAGAACTAAACTCTAGAAAAGTTTTATTTTTTAACCAAATATCAGGAAATGGATTTAGAAAGAAAAGCCAAATATAAAATTTTAAAGTTAGTAGCTGCAAGTGGAAAGCCAAAGTTAAAAGTATTAATTCTCTGGCTAAGTAGATTTTCCAAAACTAGATTATTAGTATCAGTTATGCAAAAATAACTAGTCCTATAAGGGTAGCATTTTATAAATAACTATCTTTTTTTGTGCAAGAAAAAATGTACTGCCAGTTTCTAAGAATAGTAATCTTAGTCATGCTATATTAAATGTTCTGCACAAAAGCACAACCTTTTCATATATAATTATAAAATACTTAGCATACATTACTGGAAAGAAAAAATTCTTCCCAAATCATTTTTTCTCAGAGGTACCCAGATCTCAAAAGTAAGTGGAAGATTCTTAAATATACATTCAAAATCCAAGTATGTAAGGACATCCCAGAGACACACCCTGTTGTATACCCTAACTTCCAGGAGTCACACGGACCATGGAAAGGATAATCTCATACAGGAAGGAACTAGTTCACTGAATCTAAGATTTGTCTTTGAAACAGAACAGCCTAAAGGAATACATCACCAGTGAAAATACTGATTTCTGCAAGATGTTCAGTATTATCTCTCCTCTCATAATTTCCAAATTCAAAACTCATAAATTCAATTTTTCCTTTTTTGGGGTGTTGAGAGAAAGAGGAGTTATGAAGTATTCCAGACTAAGACTGAATTAGAAATACTCCTCAATGTGCTCTCTAGTAATATATGAACCGAATCACCTGAACTGAAAGGTTTGCCTTGAGTAAGAGTATGAAAATGTCTGGCAAAAAGCACAATAAAAAAGGCAATTTACTTTTTCTACCTCAAAATGTCATCAAACAGCCCATAACACAGTTGATATATCCAATTTATTAGAATCTCATAAAAATATACAGCAGAATTTGAGACACGGTTTTACTTTGGTGCGTTCCAACTTAGATTACTCCAGTGGCATACAGCTTTTAAAGTCTGTCCTTACAAACTACTTACTAGCAGCCTAATTTCTGAACAATTGGAGGAGCTAGATGCTAACTTCTAGAAGGTGATGCCAAAAATGTGTATACCTCACAGGTCACAATGAATGTGTTTAAGAAGTAACCCATTTTAGTTCTTAGCTCTATATCTTAAACTAATTAACACATATATTAGAAAAAAGCACTGTGTCATTCACATTGCACATAGTCAATTGATTAACGCACTCCCAATTTATTTTTTGAAGCAAAAGCAAAATCTCTAGAATACAGCAAAAAATAATGAAATGCAATTGACTTTCCTATGAATCATAAACCACTAAAAAATGTTTAAATCAAAGATTCCTAAAATAGAAACTGAATACATCGATGGATGATACATACATTTAAAGGTTCTGGCAATCAAACTAATCATGATTCTAATTGGCTTAGATGTCTGAAATATTCAACCTGTAATCAAGTAACGAGGATTTATTAAAGAAATTTTGTCACACACAGATAATTCCAATATTAAGGTTTTTAGGAAATATCCTTAAAATCAAAAACTGTTGATTGTCTCACATTCTGCCAATAATCTTTATAATGAAATAAAATATAGACAAATTTTCTCAGTGAGAAACTACAATCAAATATAATGACATTTATTTAATGAAGTTACATTTTGTAATCCAAGCTTATTTGCTAATGTTCTATTTATTTGTGGTCCAGAAAAACCTCTGAGACTTTTTAAATTTGCAACTTAGTTCACTGGATGGTACTAAACCTATTAATATTGTATATTGATAAATAAGAGACATTACTAAGCAGTGGCTAAATATAAAAAAATTAAAAATAAAAAGGAAAAAATCATATTCCTCTTAGATATTCCATAGGCTTTTAGACTGATGAATATTAAACAGTACAACATAAAACAACAAATCAAAAACCTCATGTTTGAATCTATGTATTTCAATTGAATTAGTAGATTGTGAAAAAAAATGAGAAAGGTATGGAATGCCAAAAAATAAAAATAAATAAAAATAAAGCCTTAAATGAAAATAAAAATGACATATTTTTAGGAAGATATTCTAAAATGTCACTTTATATATATATATATATATATATATATATATATATATATTTTTTTTTTTTTTTAATTGCATTTTAGGTTCTGGAGTACATGTGAAGAACATGCAGGATTGTTGTATAGGTACACACATGGCAATGTGGTTTGCTGCCTCCATCCCCATCACCTATATCTGGCATTTCTCCCTATGGTATCCCTCCCCAACTCCCTACCCCACACTGTCCCTCATCTAATCCCCCTCATCACAGACCTCAGTGGGTGATGCTCCCCTCTCTGTGTCCATATGTTCTGATTGTTCAACACCGGCCTATGAGTGAGAACATGCGGTGTTTGATTTTCTGCTCTTGTGTCAGTTTGCTAAGAGTGATGGCTTCCAGGTTCATCAATGTCCCTACAATGGACATGAACTCATCGTTTTTTATGGCTGAATAGTATCCCATGGCGTATATGTGCAACATTTTCCCTATCCAGTCTATCATCAGTGGACATTTGGGTTGGTAAAATGCCACTGTTTAATAACAGGTAACATCTAACTACCTGGTTGACTTTAAAAAAATAAAATAATCCATCAATCAACTTAATTTTAATTAAATTAACCGACAATTAAAAATAAAATTGTTTTGCTTATAATTTATATAAATTATATTACAAACTCAGCCAATTGGAATTAAGAGAAAACTTGAAATGATCAAAAAGTACTCTAATACTAGATAACAGTTTCATCAATAATAAAATATATCTGGATTTTAGACACTGAGAATTATATAGAGGCTACTGTACATATTAATTCCAAATACTATTCATTAACGAGTAGCCCAAAACTCT